GGGCACAAGGCGAAGGGGATGTTTCTTTCGGGCAACCAGGGAACCCTCCTCTTCCATGTTCAAAGATTGATTATCACCAACTTTCCAATCAAACCAATAAAGAAGGTTTGCTATCACCATCTCTAGAGTTGCARGAGCTCTGTTGATTGCAGGGCAGGATCTTCGYCCCCCTCCAAATGGGATCATCTCAAAGTTTTCCCCTCCATATTCGACCTCAACATTCTCAAACCTCTCTGGATAGAACTCACCAGCATTCTCCCCCCACGTCCTTGGATCTCTTCCCATCCCCCACCCATTGATTAAAACAGTCGTCTTGGGAAGCACGTCATAGCCCCCAATTTGACAGTGGCTTATGCTTTCATGTGGGACCAACAATGGGGCAGGCGGGTGCAATCTTAGTGTCTCTTTCACCACCATTTTCAAGTATCTCATTTTTGTGATATCCAGTTCCTTCACTTTCTGTATTCTTCCTGTACWGTTTCGGATTTCGTTTTGCAACTTTTGCATCACTCTACCACTTGCAGCGATCTCGGACATTGCCCACACCAATGTCACCACAGTTGTATCGATTCCCCCGGTCAATACGTCCTGAAATTATGTTTATTTACATTAATCACATGATATAATTCCTTTAATTTTTCAAGCTAAAACAATATTAAAATGAACTGTTAATTTACCATCACAAGGGCCTTCATGTCTTGTTTAGTCAACTGATACTCGGAAGCATTTGCTTCCGAAGATAACTCCAGTATCGTATGGACAAAATCCTTGTCATCGTCACTTATTTCTGCTATTGCATGATTCTCATGTTCATCGATKATCGCCTCGATGTAGGCATTCAAATTGCTAAAGCAATTTTCAAGCCTACCATTGAATCCGCTAAATTGGTCAATGATTTTGCCTAACCATGGAAAACTATCCCCAAGTGATCCATTAAATGTATACATGGTTTCTTCAAGCATCASTTCCAGTGACGGACCCTTAAGTGGTTGTTCTTTATAGTCGTTACCAAATGCCATCTTACAGATCACACCTTTTACAACTTCAAAMAGAACCTTGCTGAGGTTTACCTCAGTGTTTGATGACAGAGAATGAAGCATGGTCTCAATCTCTGTCACCAGAACATGGTTAAACAATTTAGCTCTTTTGGAACCCAAGAACTCGGATGCCAAAATCTTGCGCATCTCCTTCCAGTGATTGCTATATGGGGAGAAAGCKATGTCCAAACAGTTGTAGGTTAGTCGCTTGGTGGCTTGGAAGACTGTACGGGAACAACATATGTGATCTTGAGTTTTGAGGACTTGTTTGGCCATGGCAGTAGAAGAGATGACAAGAAATGGTTTAGAACCAATATAGAACAACATAACTGGTCCGTATTCATGGGAAAGTTGCCAGAGGGCTTGATGACGAGATTTACCTAGTAGGTGGTGCAAGTTCCCGATTATGGGAAGTTTTGGAGGGTTTGGGGGAAGCTTATAGGGGGCAGACACGAATGAGCTTTTGGATTTTAGAGTATATAATAATAGAAAGATGGAGAGAACCAGTAGTGTTGCAAGAAGCCATGAAGAAGGGAAGACAGTGGAGATCTCCATGTAGCTGCTTAATTTTGTGGTTATTTCCTTATCCATTTATAGTGGAGGCTTGGATATATATTTGGATAACACCAATACGAATTATTCATATTATTCATAACATGAATATATTAATTAGTTAGCGACTATTTGACAATTGTTAAATGGTTTGGTGCATAATGATTAAGTGGTCAGAATGATTAAGAGACTCTTATGATATAGTGCAAAATGAAATATAATTGTTTGATAACTGTGTACAATGAAATTAAGGCTCTTAATGGTTAAGGGAGATCCATGATACAAAATCATTCATAGGGTTTTGGAACCATTAAGAGATATACTTTTTTTCTTGCCAAACAAAATTCACCTCTTAACCATTCAGAGGTTGTCTTTTAATTAAACTATTAAGAGATAAACAAACAATCCCTAAGGTGTCTTTCCTACATGAAACTTTTGACTATAATATATTAATTGTATATAGAGGGAGATTCATACGAGAATGTTAGTTAAATAAGAGAATAATTCTAAGTTAAATATTTATTTAAATCATGTCTTCAATAAAATTTTCTTAAAAATCGTTCAAAAAAACATGTGTTATTTATTGCATATGAATTATATATGAAATTCATTTATTTCTATGATTTAATTAAGATATTTATTTATTTATTTTATTTTTTTTCCAATTTTCATTATTTTAGCATCATTAGTTTTTTTATAAAATTTAAAATAAATATGATTTAGTTTTTCATTTAATTTTTTTATTTTTAATTGAACAAAATATTTAAGTTTCTTTTTAGAATTTTAGTCAAAAATAACATATGATATCCACAATTAATCGATGCTTTTTTTTTTCAAAACCTAAATTAATTTTTAGGGACAAGCACCCAAGGGAATCCATGTATATTGCAAACTATTAAATGGAAGACTTTTGATTACGGACTTTTCGTTGAGAAATCTGTAAGTGATTTGTCACAAAATTGTCAAAACAGTTGATGGGTAAATTCTTGGTGAGTAATTCAAATCAGTGACAGATTACTCAGGTATTCTTTGGGTGATCCGTTGGTATTTTCTCGAAAAACATCGGATTTTATCATACTATTGGTATTTTCTAGATGATCCGGAGGTAATTACCGACACAAATTTGGTTTTTGTGGATGAAATTCATTTGTTTTGTAACGTTACATTTATCGAGGTTATTATCAGAGTGTCAGATCATGCAATCACCATAACTTGATGGCCCTACGTTTCTTATGACATTTCTTTGATACCAATCATTCATTCAAGAAAAGTCAAACGAAACGTGGAAGGAAATAGTTTCAAAATACATCGTTAATTAATTAAACTAAACCTTATTTAATTTTGAACTCTAGAAAAAGGAAAGCATTATTGTTGTTGGCCACTGTACTTTATGGGCACAAGGCAAAGCGGTGTTTTCCTACGAATAAGTTGGAATCCTTCCTCTTCCATGTCCAAATCTCCCTTCTTTACTGTTTCCCAATCGAACAAGTAAAGAAGGTTTGCAATCGTAAACTCTACGGTCGAAACAGCCGAATTATACCCTGGACATGCTCTTCGCCCCCCTCCAAACGACACCATCTCGAAATGCTTCCCTCCGAAATCGACCTGAATTTCTTCAAACCGCTCTGGATGAAACTCCGTTGGGCTCTCTTTCCAGATTCTTGGGTCCCTTCTGATCGCCCAAGAATTGATCATCACTTTCATCCCAGGGAACACATCGTATCCACCGATCTGACACTGGTTTACGCATTCCCGTGTGATAAAAATGGAGGAGGCGGGTGCAATCGTAGCGTCTCCTTCACTACCATCTTCAAGTATCTCATCTTCGTAATATCTTATTCATCCACTCTCGATTTTCGTCCAACACAGCTTCGAATTTTGTTTTGCAGCTTTTGCATAATTCGGGGATTTTTAATGATCTCGGACATTGCCCACACCATGGTTATAACACTTGTGTTGATTGCTCCATTAAGCACATTCTGTGATGTTTATATATTCTCAAAGTCATTACTAAAGCAAATCAAATATGTCTAAAATTTCTAATATACATTCAAACGATTGTGCTTCATACGCGGCCGTTCCTGACATTTTATAGTCCCTGAGCGAACGTAAAAATATGACCCACCGCAAGAAACAAGGCTTTTAGCAACGACTTTTGTTATCGCTAAAAAGTTCGTTTATCATTAAAAAAAGTATATAACAACATGTCGTCGCTATAACTTGTGGTGGAAATATGTCATCGTTAAAAGGCGCATCGTCAAATTTCACTTTTTTTGTAGTGACCCTCGGTAAGTACGAATAAATCTTTTTCATTAGTATAAAATTGAGTACAATAAATGCTAATAATTTTCTAAGAAAAAAAATCTTATTTATCTTTATCATAGATATATAAGAGAGTACTTAAATTTACATACATTTTATTAGATAATTTAAAACCAAGAGTATAGAAATTATGGTTGATAATTTCTTATAAAAAGTAAGATTTTTTCTTTTATCAATATTTAATTTAGATCACTGCGTGTCATACTTTAAATCACATGTGATTAAATAAAGAATTAAAAAAAAAACAATTAATTGTGAATGACATATGATTTTCTATGAAAACTGTAATTTTTTTTAAATGCCGCCTTAAATGAAAAATAAATTATCCAAATGAAAATTAAATATGCTTATTTTAAATGCGCTAAATATAAAATAAATTTTTAAATAAAAAATTAAATCACCTTGAATAACCTTTGCATAAATAAATTACTTGTATGCCCTTTTTATTTATTTTTGAAATTATTTATTTAAAATATTATATAATGAATTTTGTGGTTCATATTCATTTCTTATTTTCTTATTTGGTTATTATTCTTGTATAAACCTGACTCTATATAAATGGAGGTTAATTCGAGAATGGTAGCTAAATAAGAAAAATAAGAGAATAATTTTGAGCTAATTTTTTTTTTCTTGAATCATGCCTTAAATAATATTACTTAAAATTGCTAGATAGGGCATATGTGACATTTTTGAAAATTCATTTATTTCTATAAAAGTTATTTAATGCATTTAATAAATGTATTTATTTATGATTTTTTTACAATTTTCGTAATTTTAACATGATTAATTTTTCATATATATTTAATTTTTAATTTTTATGAAATTTAAAAATAAACATGATTTACTTTTTCATTTAAACTATTTATTTTTTAATGAACTAATTTATTTTAGTTTTTTTACAATTTTTATTAAAATATCACATATGATATTCACAATTAATCTACATTTTTGCAAAAAAAATCGATAATTTTTATCAAAATATCATATATGATTTTGATAATATTAAATTGAAGTGGAGAACTGTAAGCTCTCTACAATATTACATATGATATTTGCTAATTATGAATCACGTTTTGAATTACATATGATCTTCTACACATTGAATGTGTTCTGCAACACCTCATATGTGAGTCCTTTTTCATTATTTTTCTTTTTTAATATGTAATTTGAATCATTCGTTTCACGTTTACATCACATGTGATTAGGCAAAAAATTTGAAAAAAAAATCAGATAAATGTGGATCATATGTGATTTTCATGAAAATTGTAATTTTTCTAAATATTGCCTTGAATAAAATAAATTATTTAAATAAAAATTAAATACGTTTATTTTAAATGCATTGAATAGAAAATAAATTTTGTAAATAAAAAATAAATCACATTAAAATCATAAATATGGTTAGTTGGTTACTATTTTCGTATGAATCCAACTCTATATAGAGAAAGATAATACAATCATTAAAAAAATGTTTATCTTGTATTTGATCATGCTTAACAATCATTTATAAAACATTAAGTACTGTTTAATATTGCATATTAATTAAAGTTCTAAATTACAAGTAAATGGTGCATGATTGCAACTTTTTGAAACTGAATGCCTGAATTCATATTGCTAATCGATAAGCATGATTAAATACAAGATAAACATATCTTTTAAAAGCTCACATCCGTATTTTGCTTATAATCTCACAACTGAGAGAGAGTAGAGAGAGAGAGAAAGAGTGGGACCACCTCCATTTTGCAGTGAAAGTATCATTAACCATCATTGATCTTGCTTCTTGTTTTCAGCTTTTCTTGAAATTTTCAGAGGTCTGCAGCCCGACACCTGAGAATAAACCTTTGTCTACAATGTTCTTATATGTATATTTCGAATGGAAATTTTTGAACAAGAAACAGAGAAGGGTTTTTTTAAAGAGGTGCAGTGGGGGGTTAACTTGGTCCGTGGGCCTGTGATTATTTGGTTCATCTTTTAACCGTATATTCATTCATTGCTACTTAATTTGCTTTTATTGTTCAAACTCTTGACCTTCTTCACTACCATGTTTACATTTCAATTTTGACCCTTCCATTTCATCTCCATCAATACATATTTCTTATGTTTTATATCCATTTTAACTATTTAAATTTGATTAGTTTTTTTTTGACCGGCAAAGAAATGCGAAGTATCATAAAAAGACTAGCAAGACGCTAGCAAGAAGATAGTACAGCCAAAAAACAAGACATGGGGGAGTTACACCACACTATCCAACTATTCACCAAAAAACCTTTCGGCACCCTATTTTTAAACCAGAAAAAAGAATACGCATGAAGCTGGCCTGCGAGAAAAGAAACCGAATTCAGAGAGGGAGCTAGGAAAATTTTACGGTTGCGCAAGTTCCAGATAATCCAGAAGAACCCGTACACCATTCCGATGAACGCCTTTTTACACATGGAAGTCCCAGCCACCTCCGAGCTATGGTCAAGAAGATTGTCGATCGAGTTCACCTGTCCTATATCCACTTTCCACCATGTGCACAGGTCCTTGAGCAACTTCCGTGATATCGAGCATTCTATGAACAAGTGTTCCTCGTCTTCTTCGGTACATTCACACAGAGGGCACAAAGAGGAGAGGCAAACCACACCTCTTTTTAAGAGATTATTTTTAGTCGGAAGCCTTTTGTGAAGCAGACGCCAAGCTAAAAT